ACTGAACGGGCTGTCACCTATTGACTGCACCTCCAAAATATCAGCGTTGTAATTAGCTTGGCCTTCATGCATTTTTAGCTTGTTCAGATGGTTTAAAATTTAAGTTCAGTACACCTGAGGATTATAATGTATTCTCAGCACATACATGCGATCCTTCATTTGGGGATGAACCATGAAAATGGGCAAAAGAAAACATAGAAGGCTTTTATCTGGCAGCAGCAGTAAGTCAAATTTCTTCTAATGAGCTACTGCTGATTGACAGGTCATGCTGCAGTTAAGTAAGAATTTATGATTTGATATTAAGGAGGCCAGTGTCTACAAACTAGGACAAAATGTATAACATAAGCAGATTCTACCAAACACTGATATTAGACACTTCTACATAATGTTTAATTTGCAGCTGCCAAGCTGTGTTTTGCATCATTTTAATTTTGAGATTTGGGTGGTATTGTATTGTAGTGTTGGGCATTTTATAGAAAAAACAAAAACAACTAATTGATTAAAAAAAATAATCAGCAGTTTAATCAGCAATACAAATAATTACTGCCCTAGTTTAATATAAAAAATGAGAAGGAACACAATCTGCAGGGTCAAGATCAAACCCTGCTACACAATCAACACAATATCTTAGGAGCAGAAACTATTCATTGACAGGAAATGATTCTGCAATTATTTTGTTAAAACATTATGTAACTTTTCTACCTTAAAATAACTGCTTCAAAGTCATTTTGAAGCTACACAGAACTGTAATAGGGTTAATGGTGCCTCTGTCATTGCCACTCTGTCCGGGTCTCAACAAGTGCTGACGGAGAGCGTGGCGGGACCAGAGTCAGGTGGGCGTGCAATGTAACCAGACTCAGCAGCTTCTATGGACCTAGTTCATGGTAGAGGCGAAGAGACCAAAGAGGAAGCACGAGAAATGGAGAGAGAAGCCATTGGCGAGAATGTGAAATAAAAGACTGCAGACAGACGGCAAGCTGGATTTCTTGTAGTTGGACTAGTAAATAACATTAGCTGGCTTGTCTTGTGTTGTTGCACTTGCTTGATGTTTAGCTGTGTTCGTTGTCAGTTTGCTAGTTTTTGATCATAAGTACGTAATCATAACAAATGCATGTGTACACCGGTCCATATTCACCAAATCTTACAATGTTGCTTTAATCAATTAATCATTTAAGTTATTTGATTTAGCAAAACTGCCAAATACTCTCTAGTTCTAGTGAGAATATGATGATTTTCTTTGTTTTATGTTACTCTACATTGTATATCTCTGGCATTTGAACAGTTTTAACTGCATAAACCACACATCTTTTATGTAAATTTTGTACAGTAGAATACAAACATAATGCCATGGAGAAGGGGCTGAGAGCAAACCAAGGAGTTACAGTGACTAGGGATAAATGTGACATGACTAACATGAATCGTCTGTTAATGTTGTTACTTCTCATTTCCTCCTCAACTCAAAATATTAGTTATTTCTACATCCTAATGTGGTATTAGTGTGCAGCCTTGTTTGTCTTCTTATCAGAAGACATTAAGCAAGAATTTGTAATACAAACTTAAATATTTTGGTTCATTTTTCAAGTTTTTCAATTAGGTACCAGTTTCATTAGCATAATTTGTCCGGAGAATATCTAATCACTCTGTGCTATTTTGTGTGATTACAGATGCATCATGTATTAATGTGGAGTATTAGACTGAGAAACACTGCAGCTCCACAAACAGTTGCAGCCATGTTTAATAATAATGTTTTCCTCATTATGCTAAGAGCTGCAGGGTGTTCACTGCTGCTACAGCTAATATAATGGGATTTTAACTTCCAGTTTTTTCTTCTAATTTTGAGAGTGCTCGGTAAGAGGACTGCTGAAGTAAAGTCACTGGAGTTTCACCTGTTATTGGTAATGATCGTGGCACAAGAATGTGGGGTGCTCCAAAGCCTGTATTTTGCCGTGAGGGTGCTCTCAAGAAGAAACAATAACCACCTCCCTCTTAGCTTTATCCCTCTGAGTAGTCAAAAAAAAAAAAAAAAACTGTTATGCACAGAACTTGCTAATGTTTTTATTTGCTGTTACTGAACATTTACCATCACAAAATGAATTCTGGCAGGTCTGCAAAATCTCTGCTATATGCTTATTAATTTTACAGATTTGAGTGACAAAGCTGTTCATGTAAAATACTTTTGGTCTCATCCATTTGACAGACTTTGAGGTACCTCAAGCCATTCTGATGTAGAGATAAAGGAACAGTAGGTATGGACGTAATTTTTTTTCAGCTTGGGGACATGCAGTCTCTCTCTCTCTCTCTCTTATCTAATGATGTAGAGTTTAGGTTTAAATAACTCCGTAGCATTATTATTACAGGCCAAGTTAATCTTTACTATAATATTTCAGAACCCTACATCAGAAAATCAGACATAACTAATTCTGATGATCATGCTGTGAATGTGATATTTTCTGAATTTGACTTAATGTTGTGTGAAAGCGGCCGTCTAGATGCTAATGGCTCAAGATAACTCAAGTGGACACCATTTAAATGCACACGTCGACTCAGATATTTGGTGGGCAGCTGGTGAAAATAACACAAGGCAGGATACAGGAATGCTAATATCAGGGAGCTGATTGGCTGTTCTCCAGAGAGAGCGGAGGGGAAATGGGTGAGATGTAGTCTGGATGCTGTCATCAGCCTTCCACTTCCCCCTGCTGTATGAGAGGTCACATGGCATCTGAGTAGAAGAGCATCTGATGCCAACATTAGTACCTGCAGCTACACGACTCTGGTGTTAGAGGGATGTGAGAAGACTGAAGAGCTTTTGGGACATTTGGAAACCTAACCATGCAATCACAGCTATTCTCTCAGCCTCTGTGTTGCTGGTGTTTGTGCATATAGTACGTGCTATGCTTCTCTCAGACAAAATCTGCCACAATGGTCTGTTCATTAGATACACCTTTGCCGATTTCTCCTGGGCCACTGAAGCAGTTAACATGAAAGGAAACGGCAAGACAGCATAGACTAAAGAAGGCACGAGCGGAGAGGCAATGCAATATACTCCCTCTACAATTTCTTCTCTCACAAGCAGGAAAATATGTATTCATGTCTGCATGAAAAAATAAAGGATTAAAACATATTAGTCAGTGCAAACCAACAGGAGCAGGAAATTATACATACAATAGCACATATAATAAGCCTGAGCAATAAAACAATAGCAATATGTATCAGCAATAGAAGCTTTATCAATAGAAATGAGAAAATTGTTCCATATGATACATAGTTTCACTTAAATGCATTAAATGAAAACTGCCATGAAAGCACATAACAAATACGCCCCGGCTCATAAACAGCCCATCGTCTCCCTTGATAATGCAGCGTGCTATAAGTGAATTACCATAGATATATGCAACACGTCATCAGTCACAACATACATCGGTTACATCTCAAGAAACAATCCACAGGCTGCCCGCAATGTACTCAGGAACAACAACTTGACAAAACATTAACGTGTAAATGATTAACTGTGTGCCTTGAGAAATAAAATAGGTAAATTATTTTTATTATATATAAATACATTTTATCTGACTTCAGACTGCCCATTACCTTCACAGTATGTGCAGAGGTTGAAACATGCACAATGCAATTACTCACGTACAGACAAATAAAAACTTGTATTTTACATTGCAAGCAATAAAATATGAAAGCTGCTTTTGATTATCCTGCCCAACAGAGATATATATATAACATGTTCTGCTTAAATCATGACTGTCTCTGTCACACTCATTTCACTCAGATTTTCGCACATATTTATTTATATGAATATAGAATATGTCCAGAGATCATCTCTCTCATTGCTCCCCGCCAACATAGACTAGGCAATGACAAATAAACTTATAACCTAAAATTATATTGCATACAGAGCCTGATGACAGCTATTACGTGGAATCTATCTACTACTTACAAGCTGTGACCATTCCCCAACGAAGCATGTGCACATTGCTAGGAACAGATTTTTTAAACAGACCCATCTAAACCCAGCAATCCACCTGAAGTGCGTCAGCCCGAGACACATCAGCTATGCAGCAGATAATGAATAATTTAAAATTTAAAAAATCACCAATATTCATGGTTTAAAGTATAACATGATAAGCAGATGACAGAACACGGCAATCAGTGTGATTTAATGTGGCAGCAGTGGGAAACCAACAGCAGCTCAGTATTGTAGATGTAATTATGATATGCAGAACAGTAAAGCAAGGTGTCACATTGCTTTGAGTTGGGATGTTTCCCTAATATATTAAGCTGAATATGTGACTGTGTGGTGAACATGTGAACATGACTAACTATGCTACGTGTGACAGATCACATTTGGGATTTCCTAGAGGCCAGTATTACATGGAAATATTTATATGAACGGTCTGTGTGCAAGACAGTCATCGTGTTTACATCCTAAAAGCCAATATACAGTACAATATCAGCCTCTGCACAAGCTTCACTGGACCGACCCCTCCAAAGAATGATGATAACCTAGGGGGGAATATGCAAAGTCAATTATGTCCATAAAACTCATATACGAGTATTTCCACTGTGTAAACAAACACCATGAAAGCATCATAATGCACCTGCCAAACAACCACCAATGGACAATGAGCTTAGCCACAACAAAGTAGGCTCATTCATAATTAATACCAATGCAAACATGCACAAATGGCAAAAGCAGCAGCATCCAAACAAATTACCAGCTAGAATATATTGACAAAAAGCAGATCTGAAAAGCAGTGCAGTGCCAGCAGCCTCATAACAGCACACAAACGCAAACAAACAAAGCAAAGACATCCGCTGACAGCAATTAACGTAAGCAAAAGCAGATATTCATTAATGACTTAACTTTACTTGTTGGAAGTGAGGCACTGGTCCCTGGTGTCCCCGGTGTCCCTGGGGAGGAGAGACATGGCCAAAATATACAGACAGCAGGAGACAGGAAACCTCAACTTCCAGGTAGAAGAGAGGAACTTCAGCAGCCTGACATCCAAACTCAGAGGGCCTGAACACGGTAATGTCCTCCAGAAACTATCCCCAGGTGACCGGACCGTCGCCAGGTAGGTGGACTTATGCTAACGTTAGCTAGTTCACGACATGCTGCACAGGTAGCAGCTGTGGCGGTGTTTACAGCTGTGTGTGAGACAGTGGGGTAGCAGTACTGTTGAAATATACCGTTTTTAGTGTTAAAGTTAAAATGGCGCTTTAGATATTTGCTCCAGCTTGTAGAGTTCCTCATGAGTCGGCCGGAGTGGTCTGCTGAACTGAGCTAACTTAGCTTGTAGTCCAGCGTCCACTTCCATTCAGACATTAAGTCGAGGTCGGAGACTTCTTCTTGCTTTACAAATGGACTTAAAACACAACACTATAAGTAAGGGCCATTACTTCGGTGAGGAGAGACTCAAACGCAGGGTCCGGTCCTGATGCCGGTGGAGGTGGGGAGGTCCTGCTGAGCTACAGGTGCAGCTAATTAGGGTCCTAATGAACATGCCCCCTGTGAAACCCGTGCAGTTGAAGGGAGTACAACTACAGTAACCTATCTTTGGATGACATTTTCACTGAGCTCCTAACCCAAAGTCTAACTCCTTTCAATACAGACCCCCAAACACTCGTTTTCTTGTAGGCCTTACCTGTTGTCAAGCAGTGGGTTGAGTCTTCAAGGGTGTTTATGTGATCTCCCTGATGTCTACATTGTGTCCATGCAGTTAAAAAAAAAAGAGCAAGCAATGTGGAGCTAATGTAAGAGCATCCAAGGGTAAACATTTACCGGTAATTATTTATAGGAGACAAATGTAAGATAATGAACATCCCTGTTAGCATCTGCTGATGGATAACAGGTCAAAGTAGATTTCCCCCTAAGGTTTGCAACCGCTGCTTGTCAGATAGGACTACCATCTGGGCTCCAAACGTTTCCAGTGTTTCCAAAATGTGAGTCTACCAGTATATACAAAAGTACACACAAATATCCATTTCACATACTGTGTTTTTCAAAGTGTGTGTCTTATGATTAGCTAATTATTCTCTATCTGTTAAAATTTTAATGTAGTCCACAATTTGTCCCAAAACAAAAAAAAATGGGCTATCCAGGCCAGGAGCGGAGACTTCAGCTACTGAGCCTGGCCAGGAAATAGTACCACGCTTAAAGGTCCAGTGTGTAACATTTAGGAGGATCTGTTGGCAGAAATGGAATATAATATTCATAGGTATGTTTTCATCAGTGCATAATCACCTGAAAACAATGGTTGTGTTTTTGTTACCTTAGAATGAGCCCCTTTATCTACAGAGGGAGCGGGTCCCCTTCTGCAGAGTCATGTTAAAATATAGATGTGTGTATATCACTGATCTGAGTCTAGCCTAGAACATAACATATCTAAGTACAGGAAAAGAAGACAGTTGACAAAAGGGTGCGGGGCTTAGGACGGGCCAATAGAGCAGAAAGTTTCGCTCTTTGCTTATTTGTTGAGGCTGCATGGGGCCTTCTGGACAGGAGCAACTACTGTATACAGTAAGAGTTTGCTGTTATTACGCAAGAAAACAACAGTTACGGCACTCTGTCTTGCACCTTGTGATGCTGAGGCAGAGGCTGGAGATGGTCTTTAGCTCTCAGCCCACCATAGAGGAGGTGGGAGATGTTGCTTAAGATGGAGTTCAGTTTAGTCCTCAGCCTCCCCTCTGCTGCTGCCTCCAGGCTGTCCAGAGCTTTTTTACACCAGTTTGTTTATCCTGCCTGCCTCCCCCGCTGTGGTGCTGCCTCCCCAGCACACTGTACACAACAGTGGCTGGCACATTGCAGCAAAGAGAGGACTGAGGAAGTCAGTCAGATTAAAGAAATAGATGTACAATAATGCTCTTAGCCTAATTATCAGTCCACATGTAGGCAGCCAAGTCTATCTGTTGTGTAGAAATGTGTCTCAACAGACATACAGGAACATATAATGTTGTAGAAGAACATACAGCGTGTGCATGTGCTGATGCACAGGGTATGTTGGCGTCTTAAATTGCCAGGGGGGCAGGTTAAGATGTTCAGTGGACTATTCATCCTCCTCTACAGGTATATTACTGCAAAATATTCTCTCAACATCACCTCAGTGCGCATACCAAACCAGCTGCAGCCCTCTGACCTTTCAAGCCAACTTTTACTCTGTCTATTGTGCAGTGAGTCGGCACTTTTTTAAATTTATGTGCATTATATAAATTTGATAAGTGTGTGAAATTCAGACGTGCTGTGTCACTGCTCGCTGTTAATGATGAATTATTGACCATCTGTACGAGAAAGCTTTTGAAGTATAAAATTAGTGCATAATGAGAATTTGGTTTGGAGGCAGTTTCAGCCCCACCTAAGCCCCCGCATGATTACATGTTGAATATTGATTATGCAAAGCCTTTTAAATGACATTAGAGATTAAATCACCTCTGCAGAAATCAAGCTTAAGGTAGACTTGCTCTGTTCCAGTCACTGACAGAAAGTTGATCAGCTGTATTTACTGTGCAGTGCATGTTTTAAATCAAATGTGCTGAGTGAAATGGAGATATTACAACACTTTTACTTGCTGATTTAAATGTTTCTGCTGTCATTGTTTTAGAAAAAGGCCATGAGAGCAATGGTTCTACCAAAGTATTAGATGGAGATATCTTTAAAAGTGGCTCATAGTATGTCTCAATTATCAAACAATGTATGGGTTAACTATATATTATATGAATAATAATTCTGCTCATTAGCTGGTACATCTTTTTGTCCCTGGCTTGCTACTTTCCACCTCAAAGGACCACTCAGATAATAAGCCTGTAATTAAACCTGGCTGCAATGGTTTTTTGGAGTCCGTGGAGAGAAACAGAAATAGTAGCAGAACTAATGCTAGCTTTATGTTGAGCAGAAAGAGCCCCAGAATTATGGCCGCTTGTACTAAGAAGCAGTGACAGCCAGGCTTCAGTAATGTCCCTCGATGTGGACCAAACTCTCTTTCTAAGGTCTGACAGACATGAAAGAGCCTTCTGATGTTCTGACCTGTGAGTTTACCTTTTGTTCATCCTGAACTATGTGCTCGTGTGCAGCGGGTCCTGCATTTCAGATCTGAGCTTTCAGTGAATCCAACCATGGAAAATGTCTGTACTGCACCTCCATCGTCATCTATCCTGTGTTTGATTTTCTCTTGTTTTGATCTATATTTGTAACCTTTGTTTTCTGTGAAGCGCTGAATGAAAGCCTGTTTGTTTAAAGCGCTTTAGAAATAAATGCGATCTGACAGTCCCACCGTCGACAGTACTGTTATAAATGCCTGTAGCATTATATATTGAAACAATAGACCGGAAACGCAATAATAATACTTTAACAACCCTTTATAATGAAGGAATTATTGTAATAGCTCGTAATAGTCACCTTTGAAGATACTGGAGGTGTAGTAATAATGTTTCATGCAATAATAATTGGTGTTTTTGGTGTCATTTTTCTTAAGATTCATAGCCCAAATTATTATGACATCACCAGAAAATATGTAAATGCAATAATTTATTGTTGTTTAGTCTTTAAAAGTTCAGAATATTGTGCAAAAAACCCAAATGATGGTTTAACGCGCTTGTTTTGTCCAAAATCCAAAGATATTATTTTTACAATGACTTCAAACAGTGAAAAGCAGATCTTCTCATTAGAGTTTTTTTCTTCACAAACTACTTAAATAATTAATCGATTTAATTTTCTGTGAGCGAAAACAAACACACCAGAGGTTTGACAGGTTTTCCCCGCTCATCCTCGAATAACTTGTGTTCTAAATAACGACCAGCGTGAGTGACCCCCCTCCCTTTATGTGGGCCACTTGCCAGAGCAGCGAGACGGTGTGGAGGTGAGCCAACCTATCAGAGCTCGGACGTGACGTGAGAGGGGAAGTGTCTGCGGCCCTTCAAACCCAGTTAGACCTAATAGCCAATTAGTGGTTCAGAAGGGAGGTGAATGTCAGCTCATTGTGGGGATGACTGTCACAGCAGCTGGATAATACAGTATGTAGCCTGCAGGAGGAACACTGAATACTGGATTTGTTGTTATGGCACGTACTCAGGATGCCGCCGTCAGTCAGGCACAGAGAGAAATTGACTGATATTGATTAGAAATGACTTGATATTTCAATTTGCATTTAAAAAAAGGATTATAAAATAGCTTTCAAGCCCTGTGCTGACTTTAAATGGTGCTGTTAACCACAATGTAAAACTGACAGCAGAACCATTCAGTCCACTGAAGTATTTGTTATGGAAAGTGTGTAGGAAGCTGGTTAGCCTAGCTTAGCTTAGCATAAAGACTCAAAAGAGGGAGCCTGGCTTGTCCAAATGTAACACAATCCACCTACCAGCACCTCTAAAGCTCACTAATGCTAATTTAATCTGTTCAAAAAAAGTGTTTTAAAAAAAGGACATGTGGTTCCTTATGTGAGGTTATATGCCAGACTTTCTTGGCCGAGTAATTGCTAACAGTGACAACGTGTAATCTGTTCACTAATTAGTAAAAACTTCAAAAGCCAACAGCTTTTTTTTAAGCTTTTTTATTGGAAGTGTGTTTAACCTAGTTCATAGCTGTGCAGCTGCACCCAGGAGAGCTGCTCTAAGTAAGTAGCAGTATAGAAAAACATTCATATTTGGGAGCCCAAATTGGAAAATAACAAGTTACAACTAAATATAAGAGATTTCTAAGAAGATTTCTTTTTTAAACTATTTCATGTCTATCAAGTAATTTAGTTTCCAGTGCTTCATATCCACCTATCCTGAATTAGGGCTGCTCAGGGGTCAATAACTTAATAATGATACCACTATATATGACCCCCTACTCAGACTGGCTGACAGTATTGCTGGTTCCAGTACCTCACTTGACGAAGGCTGCTCACAGAGCGACAGGACCATAAATGAATCTGATTCAAAACAAATTGAAAGACATGGACCATAAATACCATTATTTTTTCCCAGTCTGACACCACACCAAAACTGAAACTCTGAATGGCTGTTTTATCACATACCAAAGAAACAATAGCAGTTTCATGTCTTCACAACACTTTCAGTATCCCTCCTTTAAAATGCGTCTGTCTGATGTAAATGTCAGTATGGATTATCATGGAAGTTATTATTAAATGAAACATCTCTGCTTACACTCATTCTAGGAGAGGGTTAATGGAACTTTAATGATCCCCACGGAGAAATTGAATATTATGACATTAACAGTTCTACTTTTGACTTTGATTTACAACAGTGATGCCTGGCTACCATTGTAATATCTATTTTAAACAATGCTAAAACATACAGAGAATTCACATGGCTCAGTAGACTGTGCCCAGTGGTAAATCATTTCTTATTACTTTATAATGGACTCCTTTAACTATTTTTTTGCATTTTAAAATATCGCCCTTCAGTAGGTCGAGACCTTTTAATCACATATAACAACACACTCAGCCAATGCAGGCTATTGAAATGGAGGACAAGCCTCTTCCCTCTGCATGCCAACTAGCTTATTGTGAGTCAGGTTGGTAAGTGATCCATGGGTGGTGGTTCCCTTAAAAGAACCATTTGAATTCAAAGCATCTCAAAGCATGGCTCTCAGCTATATTTACAGCTTGGATAGCGATCAAATGGGATCCTTCAGGGTCGATGAAAAGGAGCAGAACGCAGCATGAGAAAACACACAAGGGAATGAGCCACTTATTGAGTTTCATGCTTCCTGCACATTTTCCATTGCAAAGAAACATTTTCAACGTTCATTTTTTTGACTGGATGTAAAGCGTTTGTGTTGATATGGAACATGTTAGTGATTGTACAGTACACATGTGACTGAACATAGTTGAGAATAATGGTTGAAGTGTAGAACTACATATTGTAATGTAACTCTACTCCACTTAATCTAACTTTAATTCATTCATTTCTGCTTCTTCCTTTAAAAGTACATCTAAAAAAATACTACCATTAGAGCAATAGTTCTAATTCTATCCTTATTTGTTTTTGACTCACGGTTATTTGAAAAGATTGAAACCATTCTTGTGTCTACAATAAATACAAAGCTAGCATCCGCAGCTGGTTAGCATAGCTTAGCACAAAGACTGGAAATGAAAACAGCTAGCCTGGCCCAGCCAAGAAATAATGTGGTTAAACCCACAACTTGTCATTTTTACAATTCGATTTTTGTACGGATTAAATAAACAAGAAACAACATGTCAATAAATTAGCTTAGGAGGTGCTGGTAGGATATTTTGTTAGCCAGCTAGCTGTTTCCCTGTTTCCAGTCTTTGTTCTAAGCTAAGCTAACCTGTTAGCTAGCTGTGCAAAAACCTACATAAATACATGAAGTTGTGGTTTTATGGTGGGATAGGACTATACAGGCCAGGCTAGCAGTTTTCCCATTTCAGGTCTTCATGCTAAACCGAGCTAACAATGTGTTGGCTTCATAGCGGACAGACAGGCTATGAGAATGGTATTAATGGTTGTATTTCCAAAAATGTCCGACCATTACTTGCACTTCATTTCAAATTCTTCTCCCAACTACTTGGACTAAAACTATGGTATATATGTGAACATGTATGTCATGTTATTCATTTGCCATACAGTAGTAGTATAGCAGATCTTTATTCTACACCACAGCAGATGCTGAGAGGATTTTTTGCCGCTCTGTGATTCTTCGGCGAGCACCATGAATAACAAGAGAGTCATTACTGCGTGAGGCGGAGCAAGTCACTTCTCAGAGGCAACAGAGAGCAGGAAGCCACAGATTTATTTATGGGACTAGTGAGTGTGAGACACTGGGAGCAGTGGGGGGGCTCCTGCCCAGACAGACTGACAGACTGACAGACTGACTGACTTAGACTGATAGATAGATAGATAGATAGATAGATAGATAGATAGATAGATAGATAGATAGATAGCGTATAAACCCTGCCATTACCATATACGACAGAGGCAGAAGGAGTGAGACAGAGTACTGAGAGTGATGTCGCTGCTCCAGTGTTTGTAGCTGGTTTGGTTCCCTGTTTATAGGGTGGCTCCCTCCTCTTATCTCTGCACATTTGCAGGTGCTCTGTCAGAGGCAGACCTCACTATCTGCGGATCTACCACAGTGGGGACTCGAGAGCCGGAGCAGCAGAGTCGAGGGAACGGCGACAGTACAGAAGAAACGATCCCTCTCTCACAAATAACCAAACGGTCGATGTGAGATAATAACAGAGCCGAATACTTTGGAGCTGCTTATCTAAAAATACTGTAGGTGTTGTGCTGATTTGTAGTATTGATTTTTTTTCTTTTTAAGTGTCATGTGATATCAAAATGTATTGATGGAGCTCTAAACGTTGGGTTTTTACAGTGGCAATTGCTTCTTGGAAATGTGTTAGTGGAGGGTGGGAGTGTAATTTGAAAAGCTGGGAGGATAGAGGAATGAACCTCTAGGAAGAAACTGACTTTTACCCAGTAATATATAACATTTGATGGTAGTGACTCATATAGACATCAGACATATTTCACAGCCAGCCGGGGTATAATACAGATTGTTTCTAATTAGATATAATATATGTGAGCGAATGATAAAATGTTCTACTCCAGGGTAAGAACCTACAGTAATTAAACAACGTCATGCTGATATTTCATTACAGGCTCTCTGAAGGAGTGTTTGGGAGTGAAACAGCGTCAACCCCTTCATGAACCATGTTGAATGTGGAACATTTTCTCAATCAAAACAAAAAGCAGTGAAACCTGCTCTAAACTGCTCTCCAGCCCCTCCCAGCCCCCCCATCCCCCAACCTCCACTACCTCTACCACAGCAAATTGTGCAGGAAAGCACCTGAGCGCAGGAGAGTACAGCTTTTATTAATCTTTCTTTTTCTCAATTCTTTGAGTCTGACAGCTTTTAACTGAATTGTCTGCTCGGGCCCGTGTAGACCCGTGGAGTCCAGACACAGGCCGGTGAACGCTGTGACATCTCCACTCCCCTCAGCTCTAGTGCTGCTGCCTTCATCCAATTTACCATGAAAGGAATCCAGACAGTCCCATAATATGTCCCACGACTGCCTCGATTGAACACGGTCAACAACTCTGGGCCTGGGCTTCACACACATAACCAGCCGGCTATCTACAGAGGACCATTGGCTGCCTGTTACCCCTTGATAAGGCCCATTGCCCAGGGAAAGACTGGACAGGTCCATCTGGCGGCATTTTATAGTGAGGAGCGCCCCCTGGTGCCTCTGTGGGCACAGCACAGTTACAGGGGCAAGTGAGTCGTAAACACATCGCCTGTAACTGTGGTCGGGGGGGGGGGGGTTCTACTGTCAGACACAGATTACAGCAGTGTTTCCTCTCTAATTTCACGCAGCAGCGGTGCTTGGGGTGATATTTTTGTTGTTTTTTATTCCACATCCATCCTCGTGTCAGTCACAGTTATCTTTCTAATGCAGGCGACTGCAGTGAATATTTTTTTTCTTCACACACTTTATCACAATGAAAACATGATTTGTCAGCGTTAGGGCTGTACCTCCATTTGTTTTGAGGGAAAATGAGAAAAAAAATATAGAGCTAATTTAATGTCTCTTTTTTTTTTCTTGCTGTGGTTGTCTTTCTGGTGAATAATGAGAAATAAACGCTATGTCACCCATTATAATTAAGCCCCCAGTTTGTGGCTGAATGTTCATAAGTGAGTGGTTTCCTGCTGTGTGAAGATGTGTTGCACAGAAACTGCAGGAATACTGATTCACAGTTTTAATCATTTAACTGTCCAGAGATAATAGCTGATAAGTCAGAGCTGGGAACATTCAGTCACCCACTCTGTAAGAAGAGACAAAAACACTGTCTTGTCTGTTCATTTTCTTCTAGTGGGAAGATATAACAGCACATGAATCTGCAAAAAAATGGGAGCTAAAACAACAACAACAACAACAATTTACTAACTTTTACAGTCACATGAACAAATGCTGCTTCAGGGTTTTTTTCCCCCTCTTCCCTTTTAAAGATATACAAAGTAATGAAATACATAAAATGCCAGGGGCAACATCAACATCCCTGCAGCTGTTTTGGCAAATTTACAAAAATGCCGAACACTGGCACAAATTTCCTGCTCCTTCAATCCAAAAAATATTCCTTATCTCCCAAAATCCTCCTGTGTATCTCTCGCTGTGTATCTGAGAATAGAGAAACGAAATGAAGCAAGACAGTGAGACACCTGAAATACCTTTATTTACTAGGCTGAAAGTTGTGTGAGTGTGTGTGAGGGCAGATCCTCTCTCGGTGTGTATCATTTTCTGGTGAGTGTGACAAATTGGGGCCCTCGGCTCTGTGATAGAGGGAACCGGGAACAGCTCGCTTGCATTATTCATGAGGAGTGGGGATGTCGAGCTGTGATATGGTGTCTACATCCACAACAACGCTACAGTCAGAATGTCAAACTGTACGAGCTTATACATTTCCCCCATCTGAACCCACACTCTGATCAACAGGAAACTGAGGCATTGTGGGACCAGATAATGAGAATGGTAACGGCTTTGGTTGCTTTTCTTGTAGAGAGAGTGGGCTTACAATACACTTACTCACTTTTTTGAATTAAAAGAAGACAAGTAATGATTTTTGAGTATGTATAGACCTATTCAACACACTCTGTATTATATTGAACATATTTTCAGAACCCAGCACGCTGTATGAAACACTGAAGTAGTTCAGATTCTGTTCTGATTATTTGCAGAAGAACAGCGCACTCTTGTGGTAGACTTTGCTCCATTTTATTGCAAGCACTACTCTGCAGGCGCCTCTATCTGTGGAATTTAGATCCAAAAGTCATTCTCTAACAAAAACATAAAGCCACTTAATTAATTTATTTCAGTCTGTCTATTTTGTTGCCAGGGGTGACTCTTTTGAATTACAGTTTTTAACCTAATGATATAAACGGAAATTTTTTATTCGTAGTGCCTTCCTATCAGTTATTATAAGCAAATCTCAGCAATTGTGAACGATGAGGCACAAATTAAATGTTTTACTTGCAGTAGAAATAACTAACAGCATGTATTCCCACAACACTAGCTCACAGTCATCATTTTTTTCCTATGGCTCTGTGGTGCACAGTGAGTTGGAAATATAGATTATTACAAAATGAAATAGCTAATGTAAGAAACAAATGAGAAATGAAATAAATGAGAATAGTGATAAATGAGAGTTGGGACTTGCACTATTCTCGCAGCTCTGGGGAACAAGACAATACAAAACAAGTAAATAAAAGCAAGGCGAGACTTCAATATCTCTTTTTTATTAATTCTGACACACTGCGGTCAGATAGAAAAGTATGAGAGTTACACTTTTCAAGTTGCTTCCATGACTTGTGCAAACACTAGACGGTATCTGGGGGAAAACTCCTCTGAAGGAAAAAAACAATTGGAAAAGAAAGACATCAAAATGTAGAAGAAATGAATAAGTGCATTTAAACCTAGGTGTTGATTCTTTATGCAGTATTTATTGATTCCCAGCTTCATATAAACTGGATGTTGAGGCATAAACATAGTACATTTGAACAAAAATATAACCAATATTTACAATTATTGTATTAAAAATACAAAAACAACTGATACGTACTCCACCAATTGTCTTTTTAAAAGACATACAGGTCAAAGTAGTACAAGAAAGAATGAAGAAAAAGAAGGTCATCACCAGCTAAATGTACATTTCTCACTGACATCACACATCAAACGGAGTAGCAGTTCTACCTACTACACTTATCTTTACGCTTGTACATTTTTGTGCAAGTTTTTGTTTTTCAAAGTCGGACTTGGCCCGCTAATATGCACATTATCTTCAGAGTTGAATGAAAGTGAATGATGCATGTCACCACTGTATTACAAACAAATTATTAACAATCTATCTGCAGCCATTACAAAAAAAACTACAATAACAAAAGAAACCCAAGAAATTATTAGTGTGTAGTCACAGAACACAGTGGAAAACACCGCACTCATTCATCTTTTTCTCAGTCTGTAGTTTCCAAGACTGATCAATGTGATCAGTGCGACTCAGTGATAGAGGAAAACAAAAAGTTACTTTTCACAAATTGGATTTCTAATCATTCTGATTGGCAGCCTCGGAAAAAAACAAAACATTTCTTCATATGTCAACTTCCCCACCGGAGTCAAAAAAACAAAACAAAACAAAAAAACTTCAGTCACTTCCATTGATGGCAAGATATGGTGGCGAACTGGATGCAGGCGTTAGCGATATACATACAGCATCCACTGAGCTGATGTCTGTAACAGGTGAAGAGTTTCTGAGGATGATTCTATTAGCACAACAGCAGAGGGAGAGGTGTGGGGGCGCTCCGTGTGTAGACAAAAACATCTACGACACTGTAACGTGTGATGGCCGCAGCGAGTCGGATGATGCCGTCTGAAGCCACGTGAGAACAAAACGGTGAAGAGAATGCTCGGCTTCATCTTGTACTGAGTCTTAATGTATTAAAAAAAGGTCTGGGGAAGTATCCTGAATAAGGCATTTCACTCCGCTATTGCTTGATTCAAGACTGCTCTTGAAACAAGGTGATTTTGTGATGGGAACAACCACGCAAAGAAATGTATGCAATCATGGCATCGTAAGGCGCTTTGGACATTCACAAAATGTGGCATATGTTCAGGTTGGAAAAAAGCCAAATCTGAATTGGTGGATGCTTTTATTTTGAAGGGAGATATGGGTATTATAAGACTCTGTACAAGATCGTTTGTAAAGGTTAGGGCTACAGTCACAATTTACACGTTGGCAGCTTCTGAAATATGCTGATGGTGGGTGAGTGCTCGCTCACAGTTTGTACTTCTATACTTCTTCTGTATTCACAAGTTCCCGCCAGCGTCCACACCTGACATCAGCTTTTCATTTGGGGGGAGAGGGGGGAAAAAAAGGGGTGAACCTCCAGGATTAAATCTTCTCCACTGCAGCTGCACTTTGTGATTTAGTTACCTTGTGTACCTCTGATGCGCTGTAATGACCAACATGATGGAGTCCGACATGTTCGCTCAGTTTTCAGCAGGTGGTCAGTCAGATCTGTGCTTTTTGATATCACCTACAGGCCGGTTACAAAACACTTAGACTCTTGATGCAACAGCAAGCAACAGGAGGATGAAAAGACTTTGATATAACCAGACGAGCTCCGAGGTGGGATGACAGTAAGATATGGTTCACTCATACCCTGGTATCCAGGCCAAATGTCTGGTAACATCTAGGATTGTGCTGAAAGTGCTATTTTTTTATAATAGAAATTCATTGTTTTATCTGTGTGTGTGTGTGTGTGTGTGTGTGTGTGTGTGTGTGTGTGTGTGTGTGTGTATGTCAGTACACTGTGCATGTCGGTTCTCCCTACCGGGCTCTCCTCCTAGCTTTGATTTGAACCAACACTTGATAAGCTTTCACATGTGACACATGAGATAATACTGGATTTAGAGTTCAAACACTCGACAACAGATGGGTTGTTTCAGTCCAGGCAGAAAAATGGGCTGACTTGGTTTCTCTTTTACGGCCCCCAGAGTGCAATCAGTCAAAGACAAAAAAGAAAAAGAAATCTAGTGGGAAGTTGAAAAGTTGAGAGTCAAGTCAACCGTTGTTTCCCTCCGTCTTCAAACGATAGTCTGTTTTCTTGTTTTTATTTGTTCTGGGGTTTTTTTAGAAAGTAGAAAATGAGAAAGTGCAGATGAAGCTCAAGACGTCATGATGCTGTTGTGTTAACAGGTGGGTTTGGGGTTGTCACTGGGTGGGGGCCGGTCTTAAGGAACCCGCTCCCGTTTCTAACAGCAACATCTATGTGGTTTTGTGTATATGCGGCCAGGTCGACCCCTCCCCGGCACCGGTTAGGTTTCTGTAGTCTTTTTCCAAAAGTGCCAGGCATTTTGTCATCGTCTTTGACCTCTCCATCTCTTCTTCACAGTATTTTTTTGCATGCAGGGTCATTCAACCCCCTATGATGCTTTAAGGCAGGGGAGGGAGACGAGCAGAGGAATCCACTGATCAGGAGGGAGAGCCGAGTGGAGGAGGCAGGCACGTACGTAACTGATGATGAGTCCATTGGTCTGTCTATCTGTCAGTCTCTTTAATCCTGCCCACCCCAAAGCCAGGGGGACTTCAAGTTACTGCAAAAGGACGTCCACTGTTGTCCCTCAGACTGCTGACACCTGTTCATCCTCTGTGGAAAGAGAGAAGACAACAGAAGGTTACACTGACTGGACAGCCCATGTGTGAACTGTTTCTAGTTCAGAAAGCAGTGAGAAGTTGAGTGAAAGCTGCTGCAGTGTTTCGTTAGAATGAAAACCTGCCTTCATATCGTATACTTTAATACTTTCTATGATTGATTTCCTCCCTTCGTTTAATGTCAGTATGATATGAAAATCAACTTGCAGCGACTTGAAATTTGACAGTGACAGAAGACATTTTGTCAGTTTTATTATATTTTAAGGTGTTTCTGACACACAATGCAGCTGTGAGCAGAGGCTCTTCTGAACTCGATGTTTAATACAATGATGCAACAATGATTTACCTAACATTTTTACAAATTCCCTTAGTATTAGTCTTGTAACTTTTTACAAACAATTGGAGACAATGTTCCCACGTGATGGCTTTACCCTCTTAAGCAAATTTCAAGTCTGTTTCGATTTGATTTTCATCTTGCACTGAAGTAAAGGCTGCCTGCTAGGTACAACATATTTTAAAAACTCATGTTTGGGAAAATAATAATATATTTTTTAATTTCTCTACATGCTTATTTCAAATTTAAATTAATTATAGTAATTTTGATGTCCTATTGTGCTATGTAACATCTGTCCAAGGACAACAGATGAAAAATAACACATTTACAGTAGTGTTTATTAATGCGGAAACCAACAGCTGTTCTAAAATCCAACTTTAATTTAAAATGTGAAAAACACTGGACAGCGTGTATTAAAAGTGTTGCTACAATAACACAGAATTCATCCAGAGTCACTGAAGGCGAGTCAGGTGCGTGCTGGTGCAGGAGAATGGAGGTGCATGTTTTCAGGCATTGAGTTTGATTGCATGGGTGAGAGAGTCCTCGCGGCACTGCGCCTGCTGATGGATGCTATTCGACACAGTGTGCGTGAGACAGTGAGAGAGAAGAGCAGAATGTGTGGTGGCAGAGAAGTGGTGAGTTTCTGGTCTGACCAGTATGACTCATGCATGATGACATATCGTGGGTTAAAGGTGAGGGTCCCGCTCCAAATGAACAATTCCCAGATCATAAATACTTAATGTCTGAATTTCACTTCCTGATTACGAACACTGATAGAGAATTGGAATTTGGAGTGGGACCGATCCTGCTGGTGCTGTGGGAAAGGAATGGTCTCAGTCCAAGTGTGTATTCCTGTTCACATGCAGGTTTCATTGGAGTGGAGGGGGGGGCAACCTGATAAATCAGTTTTTACCTGCCTTGGGAAGAGGGGCCCTGCCTGTTAACCCCCGTACACTCACTCTCATGGTCTGGGAGTCTCAGGTGTATGCTGTGCCACTGGCTTTGGCTTCCTCAGAGCGATTAGTTTGGAAGACAAGGACTCACCCTCCTCTTCCTCCTCAGCCTCTTGCTCCTCGGCCGGTGAGCGTGTGCGGTGGAGGCCGCCCGCCCGCTGTTTGGCCCCCTGGTGGGCCTGGTGGGAGTCGGGCGACTGGGTGACCATGCGTGAGCGCTGCAGGGCCGTGGTGTAGTCTGGTGGCCGGCGGCCTGTGTGGGTAGCTGTGGACGTGGGGACAGACGGGGCCGGGTGCTGCCCTTCGGCGAGGTCGGAGATGGTCAGGGCAGTGTAGCCGGGGGGAGTCGGGGGAGGCTCACGGTAACGGCTCTCTTTCCGCGCTGAAGGGACACAAAAGAAATGAAGATGCAGATGATGACGGCACTTTTAAAATACCAATGCTTGCTGGTTTTTATTTGATGTTGATTGTAGAGAAATGAAAGGAAATGAAGGAAGAGAGAGAACAAAGGTCACTGATTACAAGGTACAAAGAAATTCAAGCAACAGGACTGTGAAGTTCAGTCACTCACTAATGAGGCCTTTACCCCCAGCGGTGATGGGTGACGGGGAGGGCCGGCTCAGCTGCTTGGCCTCCTCTGACCCGGTGGATGTGATGCTACTTGTTTCTGGGTCGGCATTGACGTCCTTCCCCCCTCTCCTCTTAATGGTGCCAGTATCTCCCTCAGAGTCCTCTCCCCAGTAAGCAGCTGAGGATGAGGAAGAGCTGGCGGATGCCCAGCTCCCCCTGGCCTGGGCTGCCCACAGTGCGGCAGGCCCCCCTAATAAGGCCTCGGGTCCACCGGGAGGGAGTCCTCCAATGCCACCTCCAAGTCCACCTGCACCAAAGGCCAGAGTCTCCCAGCTACGCCCCTGCTGCATGGTCTGGATGTTGTCGTGGGAACCAGAGGAGCAGGAAGTCCAGGAGCCGCGGCCGCTGTCTGCGGCGTCGAGGGAAACGCGGTCGCCCTGATCCTGAGTCAGCTCCTCTGAACTGGGGGAGGAGAGCACTGTAGGGCAGCCGGTGTAAATGCCCCGACAGTCCTGCATCGATGAATATGAACTACCATTTGAGAAAAACAAAGAAACATTACTCCGGTTTGAAGGTCAGAGGGATAAAAGTGATCAGAAAGCAACCAACAAAAAAAGCGTTCCTACCCGAGGCTGTACTGGTCGGGGTCAGTGGTGGCTCTTCGTTCCAGCCGCGGCCCCCCAATGTGCGATTCCCCAACTCCTCCAGAGTGACGGAGTCTCCTCTCCTCCTGGGCCATGTCGAAAGAGGAGTTACTGACGAGGCTGGAGCGAGAGGAGATCTCACTGTGACCGGAGTCTGAGTAGGCGTCTCCCGTCCGGTTGTAACCTGGAGGAGAGGAAGAAGTTGTAAAAGATGTTCAACTTCAACAAAGAAGACTCAAATCCTGCAAGTCCTGACAGTGCTCCATAAAAGCCTCTTCCTAACATGACCCCCTTCATGCGTGTGGGTCTCTGCCTAACTTATGGTGGGTCAGTTTCTTTTTAACTCTGATCATAAATCTCTAATTCACATATCTTATCTCAGTCAGTGTTTTTAAACGAGGCATCACACACGGACTGCAGGGATAATTGCAGAGTGCCATTTCCAAGTCAGCCAACCAACTCTTTAGGGACGAGTGACTTAGATTCTTACTGAAGCAGCAGTTTACTACGAGAGTCAGGGTTTCAACACAGCGCTGAAGAGTGTGGAAAAGTTTAGATAATAAGTGTTGAGGGACTGAGAATTGCACAACAAAGTCTGGGGAAGTACATAGAAATCACTGGTGCTGACTGCTGACACATGTAAGTACATATTTTCTAGTTATGCTGTCATTGTAGCATTTGCTGTAGCTCAGCTATAGAGTCGAATAGCTTGACAGTCTTATTTCTCAGCCACTATCAGCATTAGTCAGCTCAGTAACCGCTTCCATCCCGGCATACGCTTTTGAGTCTGAAGAAAGGAGGGAATGTTTAAATGAAAATGGATTAGGAAGCTGTAACTATAAAGATGTGGCGCAAACATGAGTCAGAGGATGTTTAGCCCCTGCTAGATGATATCAATTCAGCTCAGGCTGAAGGGGACACACGGACTCATAAGACCCTTGAGGTTAATTTAATGAATATAAGCAGCAGCTCTAGAACTGTAAAGACAACAAAGTCCTGTCCTGTAAACAACTGATGCTCTTTGGACTAAATGATGGCGTTTTATCTGTAGCAGAGAACAATGGACTGTAATTATTTATGGTATTTTGCATATTTTTAGGTTGTTTGACTTATGAACTGCAGGTCTTTAAAGTATGTTGTTTTTAGCTTGTATATTTATGGTACTTCTCATTTATATGATGGTTTTATTGTTGGTATGCTGTGTTTGATGTTGCCCTGTCAGTCGTGTACCATGAGTTCATAAAGACAAGCTTCTAGCAACATTTGTTGAAAATGGTAACGTTAATTCTAATTCTAAGTAAACATTTTCTACAGCTGTTTCTAGCAGTTGCAACATGTGGAAGAGCTGTTTTAGTAAAACCACTGACAGCCACTGTGGCTGAACAAAGAAGAAACGCTGGAAGGAACAAAAGCATTCTATGAAAAATATATGAAAACACCAGTGGTTTCTGGGAAATGCAGGGTAAAAGCATTACAGATGTTGTCAAAATCCCAAATCCAAGAACTATTAGGATTACAATTTAAAAGGCTGAGAATGTGTGTTAAACTACATTTAAAAGGCATTGGACTCCAGACTAGTTAGTGCCACGGTTCTCAGGTCTACACAATTCTGCTCACCACCAGACCAGTACCAGTTTACCTGTGGATACAGTGGCTTAAAAGGGGGACCCATATTTCTGTGATCAAGGCCAATATGTCAACAACGACGCTTTATAGGCTGAAGCTGGGTGGGAATTTGGTGGCCTTGGTGTGGCTCCAAGTTCTAGTTAAATAATGTCTTTTCTGTGGCAAGGATCAGAGGACAGGAATTTGATATTTGTTATTAGTGCGTGTTGTCCTTTCCAAGGTAAAAATAATATCCTGCTGTCTTTCCCCTGCAACACATTACATAATCTCTCATTTCTCAATCTGCAAGAGTTTTCAAAGAAACAAAACTGGCACTGAAGAATCTAGGTTTGAAATAAGATGGGTCTTATTATGGAGGAAAAATACTGGTACCCAACAACAAATCTGAAACACAGTGCAGTGCACACTGGCAGCCACCAGGTGGCATTTGTGACACCATGACACAGAGAAGGAGCATGGAAAATGGTGTGAGAGGGAGGGAGGATTATTGGCTTACCCTTCTTGGGTGAGCTCTGGGGGGAGGTGGGAGGGGAGGAGAGCTGGGAGGAGGCGTTGGACACAGTGTCCTCTGGCTGCCTCCGGTGCCTTTCGTTCCCCTCCTCTGACAGAGACAGGATCTTCTTCAGAGACTGAGGGGAACTGGTGCCTGTGGACATTTGCGAGAAGATGAGCAGAATTAGCATGAGGAACACTGCCATTCCCCAAGGCTGCTGGGATGCTAAACTGCATTGTCTGGGATTTTCTTTTTGTTTTTTTTTATTCTTGTCAGACAGCCCCTAGGTGGCAGCACTGTCATAAAGAAGCAGGGAAATGCTGGCTCTGCTATTGTCTGAAAATAACTGGATGAGGAAGAGCGAACAAGGCAATGGTGGCATGTAGAAACAGAGTGAACAGAATCCACTCAATCCATAACAACACTGTTACAATATTATCAACAGAAGAATAACATGCATATCTTCTTTTTGGGACAGAGGATTTAGCTTAAATATGACATAACATGTCCCCACAAGAAAATTTAAGCAGAGCAGTAACTCTAGTGGACTGTACAGTTCAGTTACTGGTAAGGATTGTTGGATATTTTCCACTACAAGAACCGACATTACAATCAATTTAAGTCTACTACTTCAAATAAGACTCTATACACAGCATTTCCAGATCAATTGCACTTCACAAAATAGATTTATACAAATATACAATATATATAAATACAAATACCTCTAGCTCTCCTGCTGAAATATAACTTTTAAATACAAATAAAACTGATATTATATTAGGACTACTAATACTAGTGGTTGGAGGTGTATGTTCAGACTTACAAATCTCATTATTCATAAAGCTTCATCTTTATCTTACCAAAAGGCGGCAGATCCTTGACTGGCACTTTCTTTCGGGATGGGTAAAGGGCCACAGCGGGGACCTGGAGGGCCTGGTTTCCTTTGGCCAACTGGCCCCTCTGTTGGCTGGCAGCTCTGGACACAACTGGGGAGGTGTCTGGTCGTTTTCCACTAGCATTCTTGGGCACTGCAGTAGCGTGAGAAAGTGAGCAAAGTTAGATACAGATTTTCGACTTTAAACTGAGATGTATGTGTATGTAAAATGACTCATGAGAAGGCAGTAATTTGCTGTCTAGTTTAAGAAAAAAGACTAGTAATGGACAGTCAGTAGTTACAGGGATCTAAACTGTATGTTTGCTGGCCTGAGAGAGTCTCTTTGACCACTTGTATCCTTCCTTCTGTCTGTCAGTGAATTAGCAGCAAGTGGTGTTGGCATTAACAATGGAAAACTGACCTAGTGGTTCAGTCATTTTTATTCCCTGCCAAAGAGTCCTTAAGCAAGACTGAGTGTCTTGTTACTCCAGTGGTCCCACCCTGTTTGTCTCTGCTATAAATCTTGGGAACATGTGTGTATTCAAGATAAATATGCACTCAACGTTTAATTCTAAATATATTCTTGAAAAGATTGCTTTGGGGAGGGATAAGACAGAGTTTATCTCATAGACTATATTCATGTTTTCTATTATATGTCTATAATAGAAATAATGCCTATATCCTGTGTTGTTGTGAGTGTCACAAACTCACATGTACTGATGGAGGGTTCACACTGCAGCGAGAGCGTCTGCAGGCTCTCCTCGTTGGTTTCCAGGCTGAGGTTGGACAGGTACTGTTTGACCTTCCTGGCCATCTGGGCATCTTCGTAAAGCTTCTTGGCGTTCAGGAAGGAGCTGCGTCGCACCCGCTTCTTGTGCCCCCCTGTCTGGGTGACGTCGAGCACTGCCGCATTGGCGCTACCCTGGCTTAAGGACCTGATAGCACACATAGGCACCCACGCAGAAACATGGACGTCAACACAGAATGGAACGGGATTTGCAGGCACGAACCCAGACAAAGACGCACAAAAGCAAATAGAAAGAAGAGAAAAAGGCTTATTAACATATTGCTTTAGTGTGTAAATGAGGCTACATTTATTTTATTGTACAGGTAATACTACTGGGCTGCATAGGGAGTATGATATGTAAACTTGGACATGCAGAGAGCAGGTTTGGGCCTTTTTCTTAACTCCAAAACATTCCAGACATTCCAGGCAGCAGAGGGGGGTGAGGGATGATGGCTGTTGTCAAACAACAGGGGAGTAGAAAGGGGGAATTCAACTAGTGTAGCATGGTCATAGTTTACATTTCTGTGGCTTGAGTCAGAGCTGGTAGTAGTAAAAGCTTTATTTGCACACGAGCTCAGTCAAATAATAGTGTTACTCAATGAGAGTCACGTTTGTTCCTATCATTTCTTTATCGTGTTTCTGAAATGGACTGTTTTGCTTCTGACTATCAAAATCAAAAAAATCTGCTATGTGCATATGGATTCCCATTTCATTCAAAGGATCTTTTTCTCATAATTACTACGTCCGTATCTAGTAATTATAACTTAGCACCTCATATTTCCCAGATTAAGATCTCATAATTACAAGAAAACTCTTAACGGTTCTGAGATACAGATCTCGTAGTTCCAATATGGTTTTCTCATAATTACAAGATGTTAAGTCATAATTACGAGATAGAGAAGTCATAATTAGCAGAAAACGTTCCCTTTTTTTCCCCTTTAGTGAATGCAATGTGCTTCCATGTGTTTCCCATTAAATTTCCCAGTAAATGCTGTAAGCACAATAATGTCCTATTTGACCACAGGAATGTAAAGCATGATAAAAAAAAAAACTATATCTGGCTGTTTGATGTACAGATAAAACCTCAAAGACAGGTCAAATTCAGTATGTGAAGCTGCATGCACATTAAGTAAAGCAGCATGTCAATAAAGGTCACATTTGCTCATGTAATGCTGGAATCCAACATTAACAATATTCATTTGTTGTATCTTTACAGTATATGTATTAGTTTTTTTTTTTTTTCCAATTATCTGTGTTTTATTCTTATTGTAAGCACAACATCTATGTTCAGTTTACAGAATGTAACATAGTCCAGTGTAAGCTAATGCTAGCATAAGTGACCTTTGTTTCAACTGGTTGCCCTTTGGTTAGGATCAGGCAGTGTTAGTGGATTCAACTCAAACTGGTTAATGGAAACAAGCTTTCAGAAAAGAAGAAAAGAAGCACACAAATTGCCGTGGTGCGGGGAGGGCAAAAGGTTGTAGGGTCACCGAACTTACCCTAAACTTCTCCATTTCTTCTTCCTAGAGGGTGGGTGCCATGAACAGAGAAGCATGGAGGGCAAAGGGTGGACGAGTAGAGAAAGAGAGAAGGAGACAAAGCTTAGGACAGGAAAGACCACCAAGATCACCAAAGAGAAGCAATTTCACCAAAGACCCACGTGAAAGTCAGAGGAGGAAATCAAATGGTAACACCACTGGGAAGTGACATCATTAGACAAAGACACACTTTCACAGGAGCACTGTGCACATCCTATGCCAACAATGTGTATAGGGAAACAGTTGCCAGAGGAAACAGTTGCCAGAGGGAACAGCTGCTTGACAGAAAAGCGTGATGCAGAAATCTTTACTGGATCTACAGTATGTGAACCCGCTAACCCCTCAGAGCTTGGTTAGTCAGTGAGAGTGCTGACTGGGCCTACAGAGAGGGTGAAGGATCATTATTAATCTAAAAATCTGTCTTTTTTTTTTTTAAAGGAGTCTTACCTGGTCCGGAACATGAGAGCTGGGTCCATGTTGACGGAGGCCATGCGACCAACATGGCGAATTTCTTTGGCAATCATCCTCAGTTTCTCAAAGTTCACCAGGCCATCCACTTTAGAGTCATTGCCTGAGAAATAGGGGACAAAATAATGTGAACGCCAGTTACGCACACATTACATGGCTCACAAAACAAACAGATCAATAGGACTGCAGCAAAAAACACCTAACAGGGCCCTATAAAGCCACAAGTAGACTTACAACTTAACTAGACAGCTGATATCAACACAAGAAAGCTATGTTAATGCTAAAGTATACCTTTGAGATAGCCACAGCTAGCATTAGCTAAAGTTACATCTACCTACTTTTCTCTTTCCATTTCCTGTAATTGTAAAATCTGTTTTGTATCCATCTAATCTATTGTAGTGTATTTATTCTGGCCATCACAGCCTCTACATAGTGGAATTCACAAAATGTTGTGGGAAACTTTTTCATAGCTTATTCATTTAAGACAGTCTAAAAGTAAAAGAGTACGTTGCATCTTTTAGGCATTATGCATGTCTGTGACATAAAGGGGCACAAAATCGACATTATTATAACTTAACTGCCATATCAAACAAATTTTCAGTCACAAGCTTTGTAGAATGCTTCCATATTAGAGGCGGGATTAGCTGTACGTGTTTTTAATTGAATGCATGAATTATACCTTCATGTAGGAAGGTGAGGTCCTTCTTGATGACAGGGAACAGGGGAATGATCGGTGGCTGGAGGTTCTGATTGTTGAGGACATTCCTGTACTTGGCCATATTTCTTGATGGGTCAAAGAGGTCCTGCAGGTCCCCGAACAGCTTCTCGTACTTGCTAGGTAGCTTCTCCCATGTTCCCCTCAGCCTGGAGACTGGAGCCAGGTTCAGACCACTGTGGGTGGGAACATATTAAGCATGAGTATGGGAAATTCATGCTTAATCTGGCTTAGTTTATTAGGTCCTCTTATTAGTTTACTTATATTACAGCTAAAAATCATCAAATCAATCAATGAAAAGAAAAAAACACAACTGAATTTGTGAATGAATCAAGACATCCACTCATAATTCAAAATGTAAGACCATGGCACAATTAACTACACATTCATTATTCCCCAACTCACCTGATGATGGCGAACATGGAGTTGAAGTTCTTGCACTCGCGGCAGTGCAGGGCAATCTTGATGAAGTGCTTGATGGTCTTCATGCGCTTCAGCTGGTTTGGCTCCCGGGTCACCTCTGTGGCCACCCAGAAGGTCTCGTGGTTGATGGCCTCCTCAAAGCGTTTCAGGCTGGCCGAGCCCGTCTTGGAGCGCAGCTTGTACAGGTCATCGATGTATTCAGTGGGCTCGATGGCACAGAACAGTTCAAAGGCCCGCATGGAGAGCTGAGTGGCAACCTCCACTGTGCTGAGCTGTAACAAAGAGATCTGGCCTTCTCGCAGGAGGTCCTGAGCGTCCTCGTCGGAACATAACGTCTCCGTCTCCATGTTGCTCTTTAGGTAGTATCTGATGATGGAGAAGGATAATGTGTGGTTTGTTTTACTTTTTTTCTAGTGTTGACAGTTGATTCAATGAGTAGTCAAGTAAATCAACTGAAAATTAACTATTTTGATGGATGGATTAAGCTTAGCTTTTTTCCAGTGTGAGGATTTACTTATTTTCTCTATCTGATTACATTCTAAACAGAACACATTTTACTTTTTGAGTGTTTGCTGGACAAAACAAGCAATTTTAAGCCAAGAAGGGAAAACAATAACACTAATAAATAAAGGTGGCACTTAGCACATTCAGATGAAGATGTCATTACCTGCCACTCAGTTGAATCCTGTCGGCTAGTTTAGACAGCTGGTCTGGTAGCCGCCTCTGTTTAATGACGCCCTCTGGTGTGACGGATACTTCACACAGTGAATAAGCGTCTGCTGCTGCAGTCAGGGCAAACTCCCTGATAGCCTGGGCCACCACCTCCTTAGCCGTTGTGTCCTTCCCGATCATGATGTATCGAGACTGCTGGTCTGCCTTGAAGACTCGTAATACCTGGTCCGACATATCTGGGGATGCAAAACAAATCATGAGGATAAATGTTTAATTGTCAGCATTGTTTTTAATGTGAGCAATGAGCTGTTTGAATCTCATTATGCAAGTAACACCAAGGATTTTCTGCTGTTTCCTCCCCCAAGATTTATCAAGAGCCAGTACATCTTCCCAGCATTCCCTTGGAGCAAATAGACACCGACATATTTGGGATGTGATGGATCATTCATTAGTTTGATCAAAGACACAACTCCAACAGATCACATGATTCAAAATCTCAAATTACTAAATCAACACCCATGTGCCCACAGAAAAAAACATCAGCAGTCAGTGCAATGCTGTTAGCTTTACTCAGCGCTCACAAGCATGAATGCAGATTAATTGAGTTTATGTTACGTGTACAGACTTCAGTACAGCAGCTGATTAATGTCTGTAAGTCTGACATAGAGGCTGACAGCATTGACAAAGACGTGACTGTGCTAGGAGAAGCAGGATCATGGGAGAGAAGGTACTCACTCAGTATGACTGGGGCTGGACGAGCACAAACAACATGTGATGGACAGGAGTTAATGAAGACAGAAATACTGATTTTATATTCCTATCGTTGGCTCTATATAGTCAGAGTAACAAAAATCAAAGTAGGGCTGGATGATGATGATACATGTTTTATATGTGTACTGTAGGATGGGAGAAATGGTTCATACTGTAACATTTCTGGTTACAAGCCTGTCAATGAGCAGGACTTCCCTATAGCAACAAGGATTTACAGAATTGCTGCATCAATGTGATGAGGTACCTTCATGTGTGAGGTTTTTATTTACCGCTCTCCAAAAAAGGGCTTATTCTATCTTCCACTGGAGTCTCAATCAAGTTCATTTTTGACCTTGTAAAGAAATTCAAGGTCTGTGTAGTGCTCATTTTTTTTAAAAAATGTTAACAGCTACTGCGTAGTTCATGTAAAAGTTCATGTGAAATGATGGAAGGCTACTAGAACAGGTTCTAAACAGAACTGAAGGTAAGTTTGTTTTTCAACTGGTTTCTAATTGAATATCCAAAAAATTGTAGCACATCACATCTATACCAGTGTCATGATATAACATTGAATATGCTGTGACTTAAGATCCATATTACTTCCTAAAGGTAATAGTATTCCGTCAAAATTTAGTGTCTGTGCTCAAAAAGACCTACTTTTGGGGGTTTCTCTATATTAAAATAAAACATTTCTAGAAACAAGTGAAAAGCCTATTAAGGGCATGAGAAGGTTTTAGCTGCCACTAATGGAAATTGGTCATAAAAAAACGTTTTAATAAAAGACATAATGTTATGTTTTAGATCTTATTAGCCAACTGTGATGTCAGATGCTTAAAGAAACTGTTCAATACACACCAGGCTGGTTGTTGAAGTCGAGGATGCGATGGTGGGACTGCAGAAGGTCTGGGTTTGAGGACGACAGGTTTCCACTAACGGGCAGAGGTGGTGGGATCTGTTTGGACTGCTTCATCCCCACAATGCTGTCGTCCTGCGATTGGCCCACGCAAACGTCACTATGGAAACAAGAGGGAAGGTATGGGAGGGGTGAGAGAGCAGTTCTATCAACAAAAGGCAGGGGGCGATGTTAGTGTTGGCAGGAGCTGGAAGCTGTGGACGCCTCTGACTGTGCAATCCATCAACTACATTCTGCCAAGAAATATACCAAAGTTTTTCACCTGATACTGGGTGATTGGTGCTCTCACAGGTTCACATTTGGGTCAGTGAGCAGAGATATCAATTTGAGATCTGCACCTGGTGCTAGATCATTAGAATAACAAACTGAATGAGAATCCCACTGTCATCAGGAACTAGTTTCAAAAACTCACTGTCATCAGCTGCAGGCTGCTGGGGCATCAGTACCTCCAGTTAATTGCTAGAAATAAAGAGCACTTCCACTAATGTCAAACATTTTTTGTAAAATGTTAATACTAGGCTTATAAATCTTCAGGGAAAACGAGCAGTGGCACTACCACGCACAGCAAAGCCCACGTATTTTATCAGCCAGGTGATTGTTTAAACCTTCATCTAGCAACTACAGTGATAACGAGATGAGGTGCATCCAGATAAGTTGGATTCAGCTCAGCAAGTCATTGATTGATCAATCACATGGTGTGTTCGCTTTGCATCAATCAGAGCAGCATGTCGCAATGTGAGGAAAAAAGGAAAACCTTGTGAGTTTTCACAATTTTGGAAAAGTAGAAACAAACAGCCCAATCAGTCGCAATCAGATGAAAGAAGGAAATCAGTGCTTCCTCTCTGCACACAGCACAGGATTAACCAAAACTTGAAAGGAAAGTACAAACTGACTCTCCAACATCACTCCCAAGACTTTCTCTCTCCCAAGCCTTTAGTATATTTTGGAGATACAACTATCCCAGTCCTGCTAGTTTGGTGAATAAGCATTCTGTCTACAGTTTACGGACACCATCTAACATGATTATATGGTATTCAAATTTAAATCTCAAACATTTGCCTCTATATGCCATCTAGAATTGTGAACATGGAAAGCTTTCTTGTGCAGCTTTTACAATCACATACAATAATGTTCCTGATAATAAAGGTTGCTATGCTATTTAGGTCTTATTACTTGTATGGTTTAGGAGGCAAGATGCTGGTGAGTGTCTTGTCGAAGATCTTCTTCAGCTTGTTGCGTCCTCCCACCGTGTTGGTCTTTGCTTTCTTGCTGACCTTCTCCAGGCCCATCACCTGCTCCACGTCCACTGCCAGGTCAGGAATGGAATAGCGGCTGGCCTTCTTGATGTCCCCGATCTTTGGAAGGTGGGGTGCACCGTTCTTTCTGTCATGTTCCTCCTCACCATCCAGATCGTGGTCGTGTTCTGGCCTGGTTAGCAACTCTTTAAACACTAGACAAAAAGAGGGAGGAGACAAAAGATTGGTAAAGGAAGGAGAGCAATATACTACTACTAATGAAAACACTATAAACATAATTCAAAATGATTGCTACCAACTCTCTCTTTTCTTTTGTAAAGTGTTGAAGTACTTCTGTCTCTTTTATTAGATAATAATCCCCTAAGCCTCTCTTGGTTTGAATGATTGAGTTTGGCTATACTTGATTTAAGACACTAGTTCCCAACCCTTTTGGTTTGTGACCTCTTAAACCAAACAATGTCTACTTGCGACTTGCTGTATTTGAAGTTTTTGAGAATCTTAAATCATTTCATGAATTCACAGGAAAGGAGAAAAGGTTCAAGAAAGGAAAGTAAATACTTTTCCTAGCTTTTCTCTCCTGTTAATTATCTCACAGCCCCTCTCCACCCCCAGGTTTGGAAGCCTTATTGGCTAAACCCTCACATTACAGCAACACATGAAAAACCATATCTCCAAAAAACTTTACCTAAAAGGTTTGTTTTCACAGTTATGGACAAGTGGGTGTTGTTCTTCAGAATCTCATTGGCTTTGCTGAGCTGGACATTCTCAAAGTTCTGCCCATTGACCTCCAAGATCTGCAGAAAGAAGAAGGGAGAAATATATCAGGCACATTTTTACCAAACTGTACACCTCATTTGTTACCAACAATAGAGTTAAACAATGTGTTTGAGTGGTTAAGTGGGTGAATCTCAGCAGGACTTTGCCTTCTGTGTCCTTCTCAAGAATGTGATACTCAGCTTTTGTTTCTCTTTATCTCAGTAGAGTTAAATAAATACTAAGGTGAGTGGGTACTCTCTAATAAAAATGAACCAGATCTAAAGCTACAGCTACTTGATCCAAAGTTACGTATGTGGATTAAGAGTCAAACTGCTGCACTGGGGGACAAGAAAAACCTGCCAGTGAGTGTGTTTTCTGCCTCAGGTGTCACATCGCCATGTCAAACCGAATGCCATATTGGATATGTGCAGTAAAGTGATGAACCTTGAACAAACAACATATTTGTATCTGGGGAAAAAGGCAATAAACTCCAATCCTCTGGCATGTTATACCAAGGCCTTTAGTCCAACACATGGTTTTGACATTAACAGGTCCCCTTTTAGTTGTTTTTGTTTCAACAGCTTGACCTCTCTATATGGGCCGGATATTTGCATTTAACACAATCTACTAACCAGTCTTTGCCACTTCCTCCTCAGTGGAAGAGGAAGTCACCTCTGACTGCAACATAAGTACAGGTCATCCTCTGCTGACTTACAAGACCAAATGTGTTGGGATCAGCAGCGATTAGTGAGACGTTGCTTGGAGTTAACTACTACAGGGACTACTGCTAATAGATGACTGAACAAATGGCACTAATACTAAAGCTCTGAAATGATAAGTCCTGGGTGAACTATGATAGTAACTGAAGCTATTATAAAATGGAAGGTGTGCGCGGGTATGAGAGAGTGAATGCTTCCAAGGATGTCAGCTTCTCCGCTTCCTTTTGGGGAAACAGCTGCAGGGGATGTTTGGAGTCAAGAGGGCTTAACTCGCATCCAGACACTCTCAAGATGGTTTCAAGGATTAAGGGACTTTGCTTAAAGCCCAGAGGACTGCCGAGTGTGAAAATGGTTGAGAAGTCAAGATGCGGGGAGAAAGCCAACACAGGGTGTAACGCAGCTACTGGCAAGTTCAATTTAAGACTTAAAAAAAAAAAAAAACCTTTAATGATAGTTAGAGCAAAATGTAAAACCAATTTCATAACAAAAAATGAACTTGTGTGCTGGTCCGTGTGACAGGAGTGATTTCTCCTCACAATTGTAGCCTACAGACAAGACTGTGGCAGCTGCATTTATAGTTTTCATCCCTACAGTTTAAGAGGAAATCCCAAGACTGCAGACACTTTCTTATAGCAGAAGCAATGTATGCTGTCTTGCACATGAAGAGCCAGATTTTATTAGTCAATTAGATGGCAACAAAGATAATGTTATGGAAACTGGTGGAAGTGTCTTTGAGTGAGAGGAAACATATTCTGCAATGACGGTGAAAGTGGTAAAAATGAAGATATCGTACCTGATCTCCACGCTTAAGGCCAACTTCTGCTGCCTTGCTGCCAGGCTCCACAGCATCAATGAAGATGCGGAACCCTTTTTCCTGTCCTCCGAGTAGGCTGAAGGCCAGAGGAGAGTCCCTGGACGGCTTGGTTAGTGTCACCAGCCGCGGCTTGGCTTTAGCAGCGCACGCTATATTTAACAGTCTTAGGTGCCCACACATTTTCTGGAAAAAAAATACAACAGATGTGAGAAAAGTGCAATAAATTGATGCACAAAACACATGTTTGCATGTGGTTAATCCCTGCATAGTTACTATACTTACTTCTTTCTCCAGATTGTTTTCAAACTCTTCCAGAAAGTGAGTCATGGCAGGGTCACCCTCAAAGTCATTGAAGTGATTGTTTACCCACAGCAAGACTACCCGTGTAACCTGGAGGAATCACATGATCAACACAGGTCAATAGACAGTTTACCGGTTGACTAAAAGTGTGCGTCATGTAGCTTACATCCTGTTCTAACAGTGTCTGTGGGTTCATGGAAAACCTCCACTTAAATGTGTCATCATGCCTTCACTTCACTAAGTGTGTCATCATTCTGTCCATGATCAAAGTTATTTCATTAGTTCATGCAGGTATACGGTGGTCCTGCTCCCGTACCTTGTCCCTGAGACTGGGGTCGTGGAACCACTCCAGGAGCTTCTTGCCCACGACCATGGGGCTGGAGAGGAAGGTCCTGTAGGTCAACAGGAAGTCCTCGATGTAGGTGGGGTCCACCACTGAGTGTTCCTCCACCAGGTGCATGGTGAGACGCTCCGGTGTGCCCTGAGGTTTAAAATGATGGCATTATTGCGTTATTGCTGCAGCAGTTAATATTTTGGTTGGCTGTTCAGGGACTCTAGTCTCTTCTGAGCTGTCCTTATTTGTTTTCAGGTTTAAGGAAAACATAAATCAAAGTAAAGCTGATTGGTCACCTTGATGACGATGTGTCCTTTCCTGGTGCCAGTGCGGTCCAGTTCGCGGTGTTCCTTCACCATAACAATCTCCCCTTCCTCCTCCACCTTCTGCATGTTCTTTTCTACTTGGTTGAGGATGCAGCAGTAGTCCTGCTGAGCTATACACACAAACTGGACAGGGCAGGGTAAAACAAGAGTTAGAGACAGATTTGATACATTTTGACACAAAAAGTATTCATCATACATGCTGAACAGTATTGTAGTTACAGTACGTATACATAAGTTATTGGATTGGATCCCCCTAAATACTTGATCTGTTAGTGCCTTCACACCAGATTAAAAGTTAAATTAATACGACTAGAAAGAAATTCTGCATAGCAACTAAGCTACTATCCCCACTGATAAATTATGAAGAAAGGGATTTCATTAATTAAAAGCATTTCAGCAACTAAGCCTGATGAGTTCAGCTGCTGAAAATTAAAAAGACATGTCTTTACTTTTTTTTCCATTCAAATTTATTTATTTGTATAGAGCCAATTAATAAATAAAGTTATCTCAGGACACTTTTAAAATAGAGTAGGTCTCGACCGTATAAAATAATGGTCTATTCCTGTTAAACACATGAGCTGGCCTATTCTCTTTCAAAATGGTTGTGGATGCTATTGGATGCTATTGCCCAAAGCTACTTTCATTGTCACGAGTGCAAAACTTGTCTGCAGGAATGAGTTTAATATCATGAGACGTCAGGGTTCCTGCTTTGCTTTTCAAACTGGGATGTGGATGAAATGGAGCGATAAACCGTAACCCACTGTCACTACGCAGGAACATTTCCAACAAAGAACCTACCTGGCAGTCGTCCACCTTGGTCTTCATGACGCCCTTCATGTATTCCTTCTCCATGGTTGGTGACACCCCAAAACTGTTCCCCATGCACAGGATCTCTGTCCGGCTTTCGGGGTACGTCACCTCCACTGAACCGTTCAGGATCACCGACCACGAGTCCAGCTGGAGCCGAAGCACATGATTGTAGTAGTTAGATATTGGAAGGAGAAAGTGGAACAAACAAAAAACAAACAAAACATTGGAAAAAGAGAAAGAAAATAGACTAACAATAATGAGTTTGTAGATCACATTAACTTCAGTCAAGTAATATTCCAGCAGCTGGTGTCCCTTAATGAGTCAAAGATATTTATCAAGAACAACCATATGCAGAAACTACAAGGGGACTGCTGCACTAACAGATGGGTTTTTATTTTCCTCAGAGGGATACAGCAATAGCACAGGACCTAACTAGGATAGGGAGTTGCAATAAACTCAAAGTATTGTTACAAGTAATGCGCGCTTGATCTGAAATAAGGAAATATCATATTTTATCCTTGAAGGGGTAAAAAAATAGGGACATTTTCAAGAATTCCTGAGAAGCTTTCAGGAGAATTTTTGAGATTCACAGATTTTCCCCCTGACAGCAACAATAGGTTCAATGAACCCTGAATTCTCTATGACCGGACATTTACTAAAGTGATCTGGCCTTCAAGGCAAGCTCTGCTCTTTATTGTCTGGGTGCATCATAGCAAAAACCAAGCAAATTGCCTTCATTGAAACTCATGTTGCGTCTTTACCAGAGAGAGAGAGAGAATAAGTGATGCCTGCTTTAGTTGCCTAAGGGATCTTAGTAAGGCCCGGTGATAAGGGTTGTCCACCATTCCGACTTAATAGAGCAGAAAAACACATCAAATGGAAGGAGAAAGATTCACTGGTGTGAAGAGGTGAAGCTTAGATTTGGCTCACACACACACACACAGACACAGACACAGACACAGACACAGACACACACACACACACACACACACACACACACACACACACACACACAGAGCAAGACAAAGTCACGAGACAATACACTAACACGCACCTCCTCTCCATCATTGAGAACGATGGTGCCGGCACGTTCGACCACAGCGAAAACCATGACGGCGCAGAGTTCCCTCCTCACTGACATGGTCATGTTGGCAAATGCTGGCAGCTGATGCATGAACTCCAGTAATTGCTCTGTGAGAGGGACAAGGAGAGACAGCGGAGGAAGTAGAGGAGGTTGAGAAAAAGAGCAAACAGAGTGACACACAGAGGAGACAAAGAGGACAGGCAGCGCTGCTCTTGGCAAGTCTGCATTGCCCTCACTTCCAGCCAAGAAGACACGAGCTGGAGGCTGAGCATCAGAATGGATCATCACCACAGTGAATAGCCAACAGAGGAATCATTATCTGGAGAATGTAAAGCCAAATATCAATTCCATTGATGTAAACTTTCAAGGCAAGCCAAGAATAATTGCTGACACTTCACTCAATGACCTCAGTGTGAGTAATAGAAGTTCAATGCAGACATTGAAGCTGAAATCATATTTAGTGCTCTGTTGAGCATGATCAAGTTTAAAGGGTCAGTTCAACAGAGGACCCAAAAACATATTTTCTGACTTTGTTGCATGGCATTTTATTTGTGTAGCTAAAAGCATTGACAACTCGAAGATATTCAGTTTACTGTCATATATAGCAACAAAAAGCAGGAAATCCTCATATTTGAAAAGCTGGAACAATCATTCTTGCTGACTAACAGAATTAATAAAACATTTGAAAAACTTTGGACATTTGAAAAGTGCAACCTGGCTTTTCAGAAACAATTTTCCTGTTACTCTGGATAATCCACAGACCTCGCTGTGATCAGTTTTTGTAGGGACAATTTCTTCAACAGATAGTTGTTGTAGCAAAAACTGTCACAGTGAGGTCCAAGTGCTATTTTCCATTGTTTTCCGCAGCATATACAAAATTCTTTTCACCTCTTTTGTCTTGGGGTGATGACAGATATTTCCAAGCAGGATATTTTAAAACCTGGGCACATCAAAGCAAAACTACTGTATGTGCCAGGCTAGCTGTTTTTTTTTTTTGTTTTATTTGGGTGAAAGGATTTAATATTGGGTGGATTTGACTGGGTGTGGCATAAAGGGAAATGCTATGTATAATCCAAGACCCAAGACTTTCTGCAGCACCCTACACTGAGGTCCTCTCTCCAACCAGCCCCTCCCCTCCTGGCTTGCCAGCAGCAGTCTGGCGTTCTGGCTGACCTGTGCTTGCCATGGCAACAGCATCGTGTGTGAAGCTGCGGAAGCACTGAAAGTTTAATGTGCTGGGAGAGGTGAGGAGAGGATGTGCCGGAGTGACCTAGAAAAGCCTGGCGGCAGAGGGAGGGGTGTGCCGCGGGGGGGATCAGCGAAGACCGTGGGGGAGGGGGAGAATGGTTGGCACTCATTCTCTGCATCCAGTGCATCTATCCTCCCCCCAGTCCACATCTGTAGCTAAGCTCTGAGACTGTGTACTTTTTTTTTTTTGAAAACACGCCTATCATTATCATTGGAGTCGAGTCATAGCTTTAAGGGATATGATACTGCAAGCCTGATGTGGCTTTGAGAATTACTCGAAAGCCTACACTGTAAATGAGAGCAGGAAAGCAAAACAAAAAGGCTTCAAACAAATGTAAATTAAAAAAAGAAAGGAGGGTGTGGCTTTTGTAGAGTGCTAAATTATTCTAATATTGGGACAAACAGTACGGTCTCAGCTGGGGAAAACACTTTGTTGTTTTTCACAGATATCTTTGGAAACACATCCTTCTCTAAAGTCTTGCAAAGATAGCACTCTAAGGCATGCACATAAATAGACTGGATATTTTTAAAAGTTAACACTGCATGGCAAAATATCTTTATTTATAATAGTGCTATTCAAGAGCTAACTGAAACACAAACACTGTTCCACATTCACAGCACAAAATTAAGCCCCTGACTGGGTGCTCACCTATGTCGTCGTCGGTTCTGTCCATGGGGTCCTTCTCCAAGCAGTCCCGCACAATGTCCCGGCTCATGAGGGGGTCCGACGCTCGCTCGATGTCCTCCTCATCGTCGTCCTCCTCCGAGTCGACGGCGGTCTCAGGCAAGCCACTCAGGTCCATGTCACCGGGTTCGTTTTCTGTGGCCTACAAAGAGTAAACAGATGAGAAATGACTCAGTTATCTACGATTAAAGAGCAACAATGAGGGATTTTGGTGTTCCCATCCAACATCAGCAGTTGGCTGTCCAAAAGTAAAGGTTCAGATGGACCAGTATGTCCATCTATTGCAACGTCTTTGAGCGAAACACCGAACCACCTACCTGCATGCTCATTACAAACAATCCTTGAGACTGTCAGCTACATGCCTGAAAAGTGAATCAGATGTTGGTACCTGCTTACTAAGCCAGTAACCAAACTCATGTTCAACGGTCAGAACTCAGTGAACTTAAACTCATTTGTAAACAGCCAGTGTAAAAAAAAAATCTGCATAATAAGGATGCAGAGGTGGAGGCTGCAGACACACACACACACACACACACACACACACACACACACACACACACACACACACACACTGCTGAAATCATTTTACAGCACAAACATCAGCTGCGACACAATGCATTTCCAACCACAAGCAAAAAAACAGCCTCTTTAAAACTGTTGTGCAGATTTGACCCATTTCAGGAAATAGATTAGAGGTATACAGTACAGTATGAGAAAGACAGGCATCAACACTGCATACCAAACAGTCTGCTATGCATAATAAGAAGCTAATTAACAACTTTCCTCCCCCCCCCGCCTCACAGCCAGATCCTGTTCTTTGAAAGCACAAGACGAAACATGTGTGGAGCTGGGAAAATGAACTGAGTTGAAGAGCAAATGTAATTCAATTACTTGTGCAGGAGTGATATTAATGGAGTTCCTCTGCTATCATCAAAGAAAATATTTCTACAAATGACAGAGGGGCCCATATTGCCTGGTTCCTGCTTGCACAACATGAAACCTTCACACTGAACAAACCAAAGCAGTTGGGAAAAGGGACTACAAAGCATCAGCCCTGCTACACTGCCACAAAAACAAACCTTACCTCAATATGGTACCCCACCTCAAGCTTCTTAGTAGAAAGAGAAGAAAAGGTTGCCTTTGCAAACTGTCCGCAAAATCCCAGAGCCAGACGCATCTTCACCTCCCAGACTGTCAGTCTGCTTTTAATTTTTCAAGGCTCAGAGTCCCCGTGCCCGGTCTCTCACAGAAGCCCTATGTCATTTCTCCTCAAACGCCATGTGCAAAAGGCTCATTAATGATTCAGGCCAGTGTCTGAGAGGCCATTTGGGCGTCACCGGTGCACACACCCTGGTGGGCGGGGCAGATGATCTGGGTGTATGTGTGAGGCCTTTTCGACAATGGAGAGTCACAGATTCAATACTGTAGAATATCTTGCCTCAAAATAAAATAAATCAATAACAAGAGTAGATGCACAAAAAGAAATCAAGAATCAAAACGGAAGGACCAGCTCCATGAATTTGAATAGCATTCCCTGGGCACCCTCTGTCCTAAAACCACTGACCGTTGCATATTCATTGCTCATTTTCTACAGATGGACAGAGGACACACAAGACAGGTTCACCACACTTGTTATCTGCAGTAAATATATTAAGGAACAAACATAAATCAGCAAGAGAAGTGAGGATGCCTATTCCTTCACAGATGCCACAGTGAATTCATTTGCTTTTAACAGGGTGCAAAAAACACCTAACATGCCACATTGAGTATAACTTGTTATAACTGGAGATCCAGCGCGCTGTATTTAAATACAAGTTGCCCATATGCCTTTGTATTCCTGCACACGCTCGTTTTCGTGTCATCTATGCATCAAAAATCCATAAATGTGCAGTAAGCATTAAGAGTCAGTGGGCAAGACAGGTACTGTTAATATTTCATCACGGCTATTCTTGGATCAATGCTTTCAAAGTCCTTCCGAAGGACCAATTTCATGATTTATTCAGACACAAAACAGTGCGCCATGTTGCCGGTGACGTGAGAGTGATGTGGGACTCATGGGGTGCTTCAATTGTAGAGGCCAAAGGAGGCGGTAGAGATTAAAGCAGCAGGGCGGACCGGTGGTTAAACTACTCACTGCCTTCCATCATAAATCTGTACCCCTATCTGCTCAGCAACTCTTTACAAAGGCATAAGCTAAATGTAGAGTAACGCCGTCATATTTCTTAGTACCATCAACTTCCTGTGGTCTCAAGTGTAAAGAACCATGTCTCCCCTGATCCGTTAATTCAAAAACACCCGAAGTGAACACCACAAACATCGCTACTGAGCTTCTATGCCACATTATTAATTCTGAAACCTGCAGGGTGCGAGTTCAGCTAACAATAAAGAAGTAATGTTGCATAAAACAAACAGTTTGGGGAATCCTGCTGGGTACCCTAGGATAGTAAGACATGAATTTGAATCTCTCTCTCCATTTTTAATGTTTGCATATTTTAATTTAGTGTGCTGAGTGCGAGTGGTCTACAAGTTAGGGAAGGAGGGCTTGTCATCAGAAGCAGTTCAACCCTGCAGACTGGCTGATATAAAAGTGAGACAACTTATCTCCTTCATTTAACAACTGCCACTTAATCCTCATTACAGGGATGGTGCAGTAGTAACACCAAGCAGTCTTTAGATAAATCTGAGCAGTAAGGAGATGATTAAGAGGAGAGGGAAATAGAAATATTTCAGCAAAATGAAATTATGCTATTTTCTTTTCACCCATTCCTGTGAATTACAGCATCATTGTACTTAAGTCAAACAGTCAAATAAAGCTAAGAAAAACATACTTTTTCATTTAAACGTATCACAATACAAAGAAATATATATGCAACCAGTTACATGCGTGGTTGTAATTGATTAGGGACTGGAAACCATTGCTGTTAGAGCAGGTAAACTGTAGTTTAATTGAAACAAGGCTGCAACCACGGATTATTTTCATTATCCATTAACCTGCATATTATTAGTATGATTAGTATTAGTATAAGTATTAGTAGAACAATTTCCCAGAGCCAAAAGTGTCTTCAAACATTTTCAAATTGTTTGTTTCACCCAACTACAAGTCCATGCGCCCAAATATTCAGTTTACAACAGCAAATCCTCAAATTTGGGAACCTCAAACCAGCACATATTTATTTATTTTATTTATTTATTTATATCTATCAACTAATTGTTTCAGCTCTAATTTGGACAGCAACACTTGGGAGTGTGAAGAAAAGTGCACGGAAAATACAGCTTGCATACTAGTCCCAACAAGCACACATAAAAGTAGATCACCAGTGAGCTGAGCAGACAAGTTTGATCACATGTGACATTGAGATTGAGACAAAGCAATTTAAGGCAAGGCGACTGAGTAGATATAGCACTCAGAGATGGAGCAGCTGCTGCTACAAATAGATTAAAGGTTGTTAGAGTTAGAGATCCAGCAAAGGAGGACAGAGAGACTGAAGGAAGACGAAAAAACAGGACAGTGTATTTCAGACAGAGAGAGGGAGAGAGAGAGAGAGAGAGAGCGAAATCAAGACAGACACAGAGCTGCTAGCAGATGGCTGTAAGACCAGGATCACAGACTGGGGACAGTAGAGCCTGTTCAACCTGCCCCAGCCAGCCACAGCATGGCCAAACATACACACAAACACACCCGCTCATACAGGCCTAACACACAATTAAAGAGCTGTATTCAAACAATTTCATATAATTCTCCATCACACACAAACACAAGCCAAGAAGAGAGGTCCATACAACGTAAAATTATTCTGACTGATGCCCCCGAGTACAGTCACAAGTGCACACACACACACACATAAATAGGCACACAGCAGGTGACAGTATTAGGAGCCAATAGGGTGGGTGCTCTGTGTTAAGAGGATTAGTTGCAGGGTTTGGGACACGTCCACAGTCACGAGATTGTGTGTGTGTTCTTTTGAGCTGAGTCATGTTTTATTTACCTCTTGGAGGGGGGGGTTGATGTAATTTTTTTTAATGTTCCTTTATTCTTTAGTCAATGGTACTCATGTATTACCTTAGTCACACCCCTAAACACAAAAACATATTCTGCAAAGTCTATGTAATATTTTAGTATAAAAAGCGACTTATCACAGGAGACTGTACGTCACAGCTCCCCGGGAGTTCTGTGCTTCTGCTTTGAGGTGACGAGAGCCCGAGCTGGAGTCAGGATGTAGGCTGGACCACCTGCTCGCAGCCACCAGCCTGTCTGCTCGTCTCCCGCTGAGCAGTGACAGTGTCCTATTAGTGTCTTATAGCCTATTTGTCTGCCAAGCTTTTACATTCTTTCCCAAACTCTCTTGTCCTATTTAATGAGCCTAACCTGCAGTCCCAGAGGTATATTTGTCATTCCACCAAGGAGAGTTTTACCACTTGGGCTTCAGTTCAACCATTTTACTTTATCCACACGAAATTATCCTGAGATTAGGTTAGAAACATTGGCTAACAGTTGATTTTATACTATGCATTGTTAACATGTCATGTAGAACCTCAAAAGGCTACTACTCTACGACTACTTCTCTTGAGATTTACAGAGTGACCTGCACAAAATAACACCTCTTCTGTCATTCCCTTGAAGGAATAGTTCTTGCTTTGTAGTTGAGTTGGATACAAAGATTAGATGTGAAGCTAGAGCCAGGTACTGCCAGCAGATGGTTAGCTTAGCTTAACGTTAGCACAAAGACTAGAAACAACTCTGTTCAAAGGATTAAAAAAATCTCCCGCCAGCCACTGTAAAGCTAACTAATAAATGTGATAGATTGTGTTTCCTTGGTACAAAAACCTGACGAGAAAAAACAAAAGTGTAAAAATGATTTCAGTCTAAAATAAACTAAGCTAAGCGACTACTGGTACTAGCTTCTTATTTATAGTACAGACATGAGAGTGCTAGGTCTCCTCAGCTAACGCTCAGAAAGAAAGTCAATACATGTTTTTCTCAAAATGCCAGAACCTTCCTAAAAGTGCTTTCACATTTAAAAAGGTGAAAAGAAATCCAACTGGCTACTGAACGACGACAACTGGGGGAGTTTGACTTCATCTACAGGGTGTTAATCTAGTTAACAACCACACCTACTGAACTATCCAGGGGAGTCCAACCTGGGGATCCAGCGCCAGTGGTGGGGGGGGGGGGGGGTACTTACCTGGTAAATGTCTGACAGGCTGCTGCTTCCAGAGTCGCTGGTGATACTACATCCTGAGTGGCTGGAGGAGACGTGGGTCACCTGTGGGTGCAAGCCGTCGGCCAGGTGAAGTCTGCTGAAGTCTGCGGGGAGCTGCACATACACACACACAACATACACACAGATGGTCAGTATCAGCCAGCTCAGCCGCCACCACTGGTCAGTGGTCACTCACACTAACACCCATGCTGACTGCCAGACGTGTTGAAACGCACTTTCACAGTGTGAAATAAAAGGCTTCTCTACTTAAGCATCATTGTATTTATTTCATTTCCTTGTATCTGTTTCCTATTTGATCATTTTATAATGGACACAGTAATCCTTGCCCTTACTACAACTGATTAAGCAAAATTTGAACTGGACAGTCGATGTTTGAATTGCAAATTTTAGATTTTTTTCGCACCATTTATACACAAACTACAAAAAAATATTGCCTCTTTAATTTTAATTGGAAAGTAGCCCAAAAAACACAAAAAAAGTCTATTCTGTTGATATTCCACAGCTGGGATAATGCAATGTTAACAGAACAAAAGATATTAATTAGTCCCACTGCAATAGCTCAACTTAACACATAATTTCTTATCAAAGCAAAGCAAAGGCAGAAAAAATAAGGTGTTAATTAAATCTGACTTCCACAGAGTCTGTCAAACACATTTATCAAGTTTAACACAACATAGGACTGAATAAAAAAGTCTCCTCCTCTGCGTGTCAGTTTAAGAGCACACTAAACCTGCTGTCTGTTTCACATACAGTCTAACAGGCCTCAAGGACCTCAGAGTCTCATTGTCTAAGTGACAAAGTAACAGTTCAACTGGCATATTGAAAAGTGATAATCTTTAGTGGCATCTTTTTTTACAGCTCCTCATAGCTCCTGTTAGCTGTTAACTGCACGGGAACTTCCTTTTTAAGAACCGAGGAAATCGACAAGAAGCACGGCATACATCAAGGAAACACCCTAATTAAAACTCACATAACCTAAATGAACACCAGGCAGTAAAGGGGGGGGGGGGGAACCCCTCTGAGTAATTCATACTGTATAAAGTAACAGAAAGCCCTGCTGTAATTAGCTATATTGTAAATGAGCCAACCCACTTCTCTATGGAGATGACCCTGAAATGTAAAATACATCAGAAACCCCCCGCTGACGTTTCAAGAGGCAGATGAACAAAACAAAAACAAGTATAGCAGTTAGTGGTTTATATGAACAAAATGCTGTATATATATATATATATATATATATATATATGTGTGTGTAGTATTGGAGCTTTAACGATAAGTCAATTGACAAAAAATTAATCTGCAACTATGATACCTGATGATCGATTAACAGTCAAATTTCAAGCAAAAATGACAAACATTTGCTGGTGACAGCTTCTTAGATGTTGAGTTTTTTCCACTTCTCTCTGGTTTCTAAATCTAGTAACTGATCATGTGGGGGTTTGGGACTGTTAATTGGAAAAAAACGAGGCCTATGAAGCCAATGCCTTAGGCTCTGGGAAATGATACAGGGCATATTTTCCAATCTTTTACAGAGATTTCATAGCCCAACGATTATCGATTAACTGAGAAAATAATAGTGATCTTAATTTAGCTATTAATCATAATGTCTAGGTGATAGGTAATCACTATGAAATTATACAAATAATGACAATAAACCTCAGTAATTGGCTACCTAAAGCTGTTTACTTAAACCACATTAACATTAATTTGCCATTTGTAACTGTCAAGCAAATATTATGGTTTACAATCTATATGAACAAGCATTTTATATATTATTTCAAATGTGCAATATATAGTGTTACCCATCATATCTGACTACAATCCCAGAGGGGTGAATTATGAATTTAATCAAACTGCGTAAACTGGTTCACAGGGTCTATAGCCGTGAATATTTTATAGCTAAATGTTTTATTTACCAATATATATTTGACAGTCAGCAGGGAGACCGCTCTGAGCCGCTTCCAACTCCACTTCTGGCTGTGGCAGATCATCAATATTATATTTTTACACCTAAAAGTCAAATGTGGCTGATTTAACTAGGCTGGCCTCATTCATCATATGATATCAGAGCTAAATCTAAGCATCTAGAGAGTCAGTTTACAGTTTTTTTTAACATGCTGTATGATTTCAGATGTGGATAGTAAACAAGATTTAGAATTTTATTTATACATGGTGATTTTAAATGTTTCTTCTGGACAGTAAAAACTTTTCACTCAGCTTTGATAAGTGCCAGTAAATAAAGCCCAGACTATATATTTCATAGGAAAAAAGGACAGAAGCTTTGCTCCAATAAAACATGATGTAGGTGTGATATTGGACAGATTGTGCAGCCAGGCTTTTAGCTCTTCTCACGTGAGCTGTTAATGGTAAAATGGTCTCTGAAGTACAGTAGTCTGGGTGTCAGTGTCATCTGCCTCAAATTGTGCTTTGGGCTGTAAATAACTACACTGCCTCAGACAGTTTTTGGAAATCAGCCTCAACAGTGGCAAGACTATGAAGTCGCACTTGGATGACAAATGGAATAGATTGGATAGAAATACATCTTTGGAAGTTAATTTGCAAGTAAATGGGTTTGAGCCGTCATCCGCTCTTGAACGTACTCTAAGAAAACGCCCGTCATCATAGCTTCTGAAGCACTCATCTGCATTACAGCTTAATTAAAGAGTTGGGGAAATGGGAGGAAAAGTGTGCAGCTGCCAGAATTATCACTGTGGAATATTGGAAACTAGTTAAAATACTTTTTAATATTCATGGTCTGCCCTTTGAGACAGAGCCCCAATAAAACTGAAGAGCTTGAAGGTGTTGTGGCACTGAATTGATTTGGCAGAAGGTGTGGAGAGATATTTGGAGACCTTTTTGAGCTGTTTGTGTGGCGAAAATTAGAAAATAAGATATATCTAGTCACAAAGTGACAAGAGACTGAGGGGCAGACAGCACAGCTCCTGTGGCACTGAGGTGTGATGTGACTACACTGTGTCAGAGATTGCCATCACGTTTAATTATCTGGCTGGCTGCACTAACTAAAATGGTCGACCGGAGGACCCAGTCAGTCACTAACCCCCCTCAGGCTGCTATTTCCCACCCCTCGTCTGGTCCACTTCACTCTGAACGCCTCCAGCTGACTTCCACGTTATTATTGCGGGCTGGACATTATTGCGTTAGTGAGACGAATCTCTTTGTCTTTTTGTAACTGCAGTGATAAAGCCTCATCACATTTCCTTCTGATGACTTTTGGGACCAAAAGAGATTATGGTATATCACTCATGTGTAATACAAACCTCCGAAGTGAAGTCATGTTAGAGCAACAACAATAATGTAAATTTATATCAAGACAGCTGTCATAAGAGTGTTGTGGCTTTGAGGCTTTAACTTCAACTTCATTCTTATCCCCAAAAAATGTGATTTGCAGCCAGACAATGAACACATTGATCAGTGTATCAATGGCCTTGAACCAAAACAATTATTGGTCAAAATATAAAGGCAATATTTAATATAAAGCTGCTCTTATAAAAATGCTCTTTAAGGACAACTCTCTTAATATTCTAGATTTTTCTCCAAATTACAATTCCAAGATCAAAGCCAACAATTAACTGATGCTAAAAACAAGTATTGTCTGTGTAACCAAAGCCTGATATTGCACTGGGTGAAATCTTCCTCCAATATGATGAACTTGGGCACGGCCATCAATACTACATAGAGCACTAAATGTGCATTAACACCTAAACATATTCTTCAACAAATGCACTTTACTTTTGTTGGAGTAGCATTTAATACTTAGCTGTTTTAGGAACTTTTTTTGGCCTTTTCTCTTTTAAAAACAAACGCATGTATTTGTCAACTGTTTTTAAATAATTATTTCTACACTAGAAATAAATGGGCTTGGGGCTGAGAGCCACAAATGGCCAATGAAAGTCAGAAACTTTTGGGACAGGGATGAATGTATTCTCGCTTTTGGTCGGTCTTTTCATGGGTTTGTTGACAACAGCAAATATATAGAATACCACCAGCCTTATTATATATTTATTTTTAAATATAGACTGTATATAAAAACACTACTGCCACACAAGGATCAAAGCGGAACATGAAGTCAAGTAAATGTCTTAATTGTTAACTTATTCTTAACATCCTGGTTGCGCAGTCAACAAATGGAAGTGCACCGACAGTAAAACAATTGAACATTCTCATTATTGAGAGTACAACTCAAGACTGGTCATGTGGAGTTTGTCGATATGGTCTCCCAACCAGGCACTGGACTGGTCTACATGTCAATATTAATATCCCCAACTGGTTTCTCCTCCTCCCAACAAACCCCCACAAACTACAAGGCCCTACCCCCAGAAAGAGGGAGAGATAAAGGGAGGGCAGGAAAGAGGGATAAAGGGAGAGGATAATAAACACTTAATCCTTTCTCTCCACTCATTTAGGTCATCCGTCTGTCGGTCAATAAGCTCGGGTCCATTCAGTCTATAAGCATGTGGTCCATTGACCTCTTCGGCCCAATGGCACGCGAGAGACTGGGCCAAGATGGATGCCAGCACAACAATAATGACACACACTCATTAAGCTTTTCCAATCGGCGGCGCGACAACATGGCAATATGTAAAGTGCATGGTTAACCCCAATCGACTGCAGAGTCTATATCAGAATGCTATTGTTGAAATCTATTAGAGATATGCTCACCATCAACTACAGCATGAAATTGTGATTATTGTCCTACCTTTTATAGGTCTCTCTGTACTCCTTCGCTCTGAATTCAATGCTCTCTCGTAAACAAATGAAGCGAGCTCTGCAGAACTGCGAGCCGAAAGTACGTACAATCAGCTGTCACAGGAGGATTAAGCATCGCTCTAATGCTCGAGCCACAACACCCAGTTCTGCCTACATGTGAGCAGATGTGGCGCTCCTTAAATTACACTGTAGACCTAATGACCTAGATTGCTGGGTGGAAGCCCTGAGTGGAAGCGCTGGCTCTCAATCTCTTTACCGCCTTTATATGCATGGGGTGAATCTGTGCTATTACACTAGATATCAGATATTGTGGGTGGCCAAGTGCACAAAATCTAACCTTCCATGGTGTACAAAGCATTAAAGTC